TTTTAGCATCAGCCTGTGGGGACATTTAGCTGAAAATACAGATAGCCTAAATCTATAGTAAAAATTTTCAGAGTTTGCAGTCATATCTGTGTAAATTAAATTATTGCCACCAGTCTTGAAAGACTTCTAGGAATAATGTAGTCAGTTTAAAGAGTATTTAAGGAGACTTGAAATGTCCTGAAATCTTAAAGTGCATATATGACAGAACCTTGACAGAGAGCTTCCCAGATTTGACAGCAGTGGTAAAACTTATATGGCATTACTAATTATAAGTTGTGAAGCCAAAGGAACTTTTCTTAAACAGATGCTATCTCTTAAGAAATTAATTTTAAATTGTTACTTTTTTAAAAACCAATTTCTATTAACCATGCCAGAGGACAGAGTTATTTTTCTCAACTGTGTGGAGGGGTGTTACAAATGCCTATGAAGAAGCAATTAAAGTATAAGCAGTCAACAATGTAGGGATGGAATATTTTACAGAGGTGAGCCAGGTAGCTAACTGATAAAAGTTATATCCTGTTCCTCTTATAGTTGAGCATTTTATAGCTTTTGAAAATTTATTTTTATAAATTTTTCCATTCTCAGTATACATGTTCATTTGCATTCCCTAAGTTTTTACTTCTAATTTTTTTTTTTCAGAAAAGTTCCAAAAATCATTTAAGTTTCAGGCAACACAAAGTCTGAATCCTCCCTTGGGTGTGGTTAATGTGAACTTGCAGCTCCAGCTGAGAAAGACCCTTCGAATGTCTATGGGGTCTTTCTGAGCTGGAGGGCTCCTGGTATAAATTAGTGTGAATGGACCTACCTGGCTTGTGCGGGCAACCTCCTGGCTCTATGACAAGAGTTCTTATCTCCAACACTATGGCCACTTTGTTCTCTTTACTGCAACCCCAATCCTCTCTTGCTCTCCCAGCCATCTCTATGTCCCCCATATCTATCAAGAGGGTATGCAACTGCTTTGTGGAGTTCCCTTTCCACACTGCACACCAGCTATGGGGGTGCAGGAGCAATGCTAGATAGGGTGTTAGTGAGGGGCAGTGAAGTTTCTGAACAAAGGTGGAGGGGTCTCCAGACAGGGGCTTCTCCTGGAGGTCGTGGCTCCCTATAAAAATCTCAGAGAAGCGTGTTTCTCAAATCACCTTTAAAAAAATCTATAGCTTTCTAGAGGTCACTATCTCATAATTTAGGCCATAGAGTGATAATTACAAAATTTAACCTAGTTTCCATTTCTTCCATTCATGTAGACCATGATTTTATTTTCTCTCTATAACCTCCCTTACATAAAATGCCATATTTTAAGTCTGTTTGTCATTTACGAGAGGAGAAGTCACATTTATACACCATGGAATCCAAGCCGATTTTCTTGCTGAAGTTTTGAAAATCCTATTTTGGATGTCTGAAGCTGAATATGAATTCTTTCTTTCTCTTTTCATTTTTGCTTCAATAAATCCTAATCTACCCCCAACCCACCAGCCACAAAAATAATGGATCTCACGCTGATTAAGGAATAGGTCATGTACACAGGGAAATAAAGGAGCAAACAGGTATTACTTGATTTGGCCTGTCTTTTCCTCCCCCTCACTTGAGTAGATGAAAAAGAAAAAAAATAATTTCAGAAACAATATTTCAGAGATGATAGGAAATTAAAATGGGAAAGGAGAAAATCTGACAAATTATAAACACAAAACTTTCTTCCACTTAATCACACTCTATCTGAAGGGCTTTCCATGGATTTACCCCTTTCATGAGGGAAAAACAGGGAAGAGCATAGAGTTGGCTCTACGAGGGCAAGTGAGTTAGGATTGGCAGCCAGTGATAGAGCTGTGATGCTGAGATCCAACTACTGGAACAGCACAGAAGGTGCTCCTCAAGCTTGGGACTCTGTTTTTAACGGTGACAAGACAAAAAATAGAATGAATATCCATTTAGATAACTTATTCACATTTGTATCTTTTCCCTTCAGTAACCGGAGGAAATCTATGCAATTTGAATTTTTAATTTCATAATTACTAATAGCTTTTCTGACAGACCTGCATAATATGCCCACTGAATTTCATTTATTCTTGCTCATATTTGGCCAACAGTATCACACAGCAGGAGAAATATATTTATGATAAATAAATATGCCACCCTTAAGTAAAGTGTAATACCAACAAATTCTGTAGTTGAGATATGAACTCAACCCTTAAAATGTTGCAAATGTGTTTTTCCTGTACTGTCCATCAGTTTCAACTTTCTATCAACAATCCCATAGCGATCCTAAAACATTTAATGTTTCCATCACATCTCCTTTTCCCAGTGTTTTCCAACAATACTCCTAATCTGCTTAGGTCATAATATATTTTTTAAACTTTACTTATTTAAGTAATCCCTACACCCAACATGGGGCTTGAACTCATGACTCTAAGACCAAGAGTTGCATGCTTTTCTGAGCTAGCCAGGTGCCTCAAGATTATATTTTAAACAGCTCCACTTATTTAAATTGGAAGAGACTTAGCCTCTAAAAGGGATAAATACATCTTCTGAAAACTGATATGAAGACAGCTGAAATTGCCACATGACTCCCGGTCCTCACTTTTATATTACACAATAGCCTCCCTCTGCATTTGGCTACAAACAACTGCACCATCTCCATTGTACATGAGGTTGGCTTGGTAGAGTCATAGAATTTTTGGTCTTGAGAGATACCTAGTGAAAATTCTGTTTAATGTCTATATTTTTTCAAATAAAGAAACCAAAATCCATAAAAGTTAAGTAACCTACTCAAAATCACACACCTACACGGGGACAGGTTCAAGACTCCCATGTCAGATCATTGAAATATGGACTAAAAATCATAATGTAGGATAAAGGAAAAAAGCTTCTATTTGTTATTTGATAAAGAAAATATTTTAACTTAAGAGCATTTTTATTTTTTATAGTACATAGAGAAAAAATATTACTTTGTATAAATTTTCATATATTAAAATATGTTCAGGAAAATCATCTTTAAAAAGGGCCTCAAATTGCAGATAAACAGAAGAGTACATTTTAAATGTAACAAAAACTAAAATTTTATTTAAAAAGTAGGAAACAGAAAATAATTTTAAATCTCTAAATAAAGACTTTCTAACTCTAAAATCAATTGATAAAACAATGAAGAAAAAATAAATTTGACCACGAAAAACATAAAACACCTTTGAGGAAAACATATACAGACAAGATAGCAAAGCAACAATAAAACAAAATAATTGCCAAACACAAAGAGAATTAAAAAATCATACAAGCCTGGAAAATATATTTGTGAAACTATTACTGATAGTTATCTTTTAAGTTAAAGTTATCTTTTAAGATATCTTAAAGATATCTACTGATATCTTTAATATTTATAAAGAAAAGAAAAACTCCTAAGACTCTGTTCTTCATTGAACTATGTCCCTCTAAAAAAATATGCTGGGGGGCGCCTGAGTGGTTCAGTTGTTAAGCGTCTGCCTTCAGCCCAGGTCATGGTCCCTGGGTCCTGGGACCGAGCCCCACATCAGGCTCCCTGTTTGGCGGGAAGCCTGCTTCTCCCTCTCCCACTCCCCCTGCTTGGGTTCCCTCTCTCGCTATGTCTCTGTTAAATAAATAAATAAAATCTTTTAAAAAAAATATGTTGGAACCCTAACTCCTATTAGCTCAGAATAATACTATTTAGATATGGGGTCTTTATGGAGGTAATCAAGTTAAAATAAGATCATTACGATGTGCCCTAATCCAATATTATTGGTACCCTTATGAAAAAGGGACATTTGGACACAGAGGCAGATACGCCTACAAGCAGAAGGCCTTATGAACGTGTAGTCACGCATCAGGGTGATGCTTCTACAAGCCAAGGAACACCAAAGATCGCCAGCAAATCACTGGAAGCTACAAGGGAGGCATGGGACAGATTCTCCCTCACAGTCTTCACAAGGAACTAACCTTCCCAACAACTTGATCTTGGACTTCAAGCCTTCAGAACTGTGAGTCAATAATGTCTGCTGTTCAAACCATCCAGTCTATGATACTTTGTTGGGGCAGTAAACAGATACAAACCCCAAATCACAAATGGGCAAGGAACACAAGAAGATCAATTTTAAAAATAGCCATACAAATGATTAATAAAAGTCTTTAAATGATTAAAATTTTCTAATAATTTTTAAAGGCATATTTAAGTAATAATTTTCTTTTTTCATAAAATAAATTGGCAGTTAAAATGCTAATATTGAATGCTTTTTATATATACAAGGGAATAGTTTTTCATTATGAAACAAGAGACTAAAAAAAAAAATGTTCTTATTTCTTGACTGGGTATTTTCCATTTCTCTAAATATCCCTTTAAGGAAATAGGCAGAGAAAGGTCAATGTAGACCAATATCAACACCAAGGTACGTTGGAGATTTGGTGTCTAAAAGTCATTGGTGACCCTGAGCTAGCCAATGTCTTTTTGCCAAAAAAACTCTGTTCTGAGCTCCTCCATCCAGGAGAAAGCCAAAGTACTCTACCTGCCTGGTAAGAGGGGAGAAAACTGGGGTGGTGAGGTGAATATTTTCACATGGTTGCTGAAAATCTCATGCTGCAGTGAAATACTACCTAGCCGGGGTTGACAAACTACAGCCCACAGGCCAGATCCAGCCCAATGCCTGCCTTTGTAAGTAGAGTTTCATTGGAAGGAACACACACATACACACCTCAAAGAGCCTTGGTGAAACTTCATATTAATAGGCAATATTAGAATAAGACTGCTGATTTAAATACCAAACTGGTTAAATTTCCAAGGGCCATAAACTCTAACCTTTGGGATTTGCTGTTCTACCAAGCAGAAATTATCTCTATGGGATAAAAATCTTGAAGTTCACATGTAATTCCCCTAAGTCTCAGGCCTGGAATCAACAGTAAGCAGTGAACTGAACTAAATGCATCCCCCCTCATACCTGTATGATAAAGTTGCATAATGAAAAGAAATAAATTTTAAAAAAGGAAAAACAGAGCCGATCGCTCGGCTTTCCCGCGTGTCGACACCTTCTGCCGAACCTCCGCCTCCCCTGCTGCTGCGCCGCAGGCTTCCTCCTCTTCAGGCGGCAGTCAGCCCGTGCGCCCGCCGGCTCCGTAATGGCAACCCGCAGCCCAGCGTCGTGATCAGTGATGACGAACCAGGTTATGACCTAGATTTATTCTGTATACCTCATCATCATGCTGAGGATTTGGAAAAGGTGTTTATTCCTCATGGACTAATTATGGACAGAACCGAGCGGCTTGCTCGAGATGTGATGAAGGAGATGGGAGGCCATGACATAGTAGCCCTCTGTGTGCTCAAGGGAGGCTATAAATTCTTTGCTGACCTGCTGGATTATATCAAAGCACTGAACAGAAATAGTGATGGATCCATTCCCATGACTGTAGATTTCATCAGACTGAAGAGCTACTGTAATGACCAGTCAACAGGGGACATCAAAGTAATTGGTGGAGATGATCTCTCAGCTTTGACTGGAAAGAATGTCTTGATTGTTGAGGATATAACTGATACTGGCAAAACAATGCAAACCTTGCTTTCCTTGGTCAAGGAGCATAATCCAAAGATGGTCAAGGTCACAAGTTTGCTGGTGAAGAGGACTTCTCGAAGTGTTGGTTATAAACCAGACTTTGTTGGATTTGAAATTCCAGACAAGTTTGTTGTAGGATATGCCCTTGACTATAATGAATACTTCAGGGATTTGAATCATGTTTGTGTCATTAGTGAAACTGGAAAAGCAAAATACAAAGCCTAAGATGAGAGTTCAAGTTGAGTTTGGAAGCATCTGGAGTCCCATTGAAATCATCAGTAGAACGTTCTAGTTCTGTGGCCAGCTGCTTAGTAGAGCTTTATTGCATGTATCCTCTCAGAATTTTATCCATTTTGTATTTTAGAAATGCCCGTTGCTGCATTCCTGAAGTCTTTATTTGCAATATGAGCCTATAGACTATCTGTTCTCTTGGCGTGGAGTGTTGTTTGACTTGTGAATGAAAAAAATCTCTTAAACCACACCACTATCGAATGAAAATATTGAAATTCTATCTGTAAGAAACATTTAAAGAGAAGATATGTTAGTTTTTTAATTGGTATTTTAATTTTTATATATTCCAGAAAGAACAGAAGTGATTGAGTATTGCTAATTATATACCACTGTGTGTTTAGAAGAGTAAGGAGCCGTCAGTTTCCATATCAGTGACAGCATCTACAGTATTGTTCTGTTGGAGAAAACACATGTCTTGGAATTATTTTGCTGTTTCGGTAGTATTAACTGTTTTCTCACGCTTGTTCTGATGATGTCTGGTGAATCTGTGTCAGCAGTTCCTTTTAAATACAAATCAATAAATTCCAAAAAACGTTACCACATTTTGAATTCCTCGGTGTAAAACTCCTTACAATAAAGGCTGTCTCTTAAAAAAATAAAAATAACTAACTAACTAAATAAATAAATAAATAAAAAGAAAAAATTATGTACTGAACATTTCAAAAGTTAGCTTTAATTAGTCTCAAGAAATAGTTCATTAAATAGTTAAGAGATATGACTGCCAGTATTTAATTATTCATTTTAAATAAACTAATGATTTCATGTAATTTTAGTCACAAGAGTCTTATGAGCTTGTTGTATTAGACTAAAACTCTTGAGATTATTTTGAGTAACAAAAATGTATTATGAATTATTAATTTCTATTCAACAGAACTAGATCCAAACTCATTTACACATCAGGTCTTTTTGTTTTAAATAACTCAATTATAACTAAAATGGAAATGTCATCTATATAATTCCTGAATTAACTATGTAAAAAATAGAACCATTAATATATGTATAATATTCTTCTGCTATTATATACATATATTTGTGTATAGTTTATTTGTACATATATAACTGTATAATTTTTAAAACTATATGTAGTTTTAAGGCTATAGATTTTTTTTTAAAAGAAGATGGGACAGACTTTTTAAATTTTTAAGAAGTTTATATACTCAATAGCACCAAGCAGAAAGTATATATTTTTTAACAACCTAAAGTAGCCATGGAATACTTCCAAAATAATCTTAGATACATTCATGTGTTTCGCTGAAGGCTACAAGAACTTTCTCAGATAAACAAAAAATGTTAGAATCTTCTGTTTTCCAAAGAATATCTATGTGTTTTTTTTTTTTTTATAAAATACTCACCTGGCTCTATTACAATTGTATTCACCCATAATGCTAATTTTATATAACCAGATCAGGGTGACATATGCATTGCCTATCCCTTAAATGTATCTTAAATATCAAGTATGAGTCACAGGTAGAGATCCAGAAACAAGACAAAAAATTTATTTCAAAGAAACTCACTGGTCTATGTGTTGAAAACATTTTAAAACTTCTAAATATTAACTACTTTATTTAAATGCAACCAAATAATAGTTGAGTTCCTTCTCTGAGCCGGGTATGTTGCTGGATGCTTTAGGAGACACAAAATAGTCACTTTTAGAGCTCTCAGTTTCCCCTACTGGAAAATTCCCATATCCTGAAAGAGCTGGTAATTGCAATGTCTTCTCTGTATATCAACTGAAAATTTGTGTTCATTTCTTTGTTGGTTCATAATCTGAGACAGCCCTATGTGAGGACTAGTGCATCATCAAGGCTGACATTAAAAAGAAAGAATAATGCACATTCACCCATTTAGTAAATATTTACAGAGTGCCTATGATGTGCCAGGCACACTGAGAAGCAACTGAAGCCAATCCCATTAAGACCTTTATGTCAAGATGCTGGCTATGATACTGGAGATAAAAATCCATTCATGTGAAACAATTTGAAAATATAAGAGAGTACATAACCAAGCACGGTTTGTAATGTGGTGCTAAAACACAGAGCAATCCTTGGCATCTTTTTTTCCCACATTTCATATCTGATCCATCAAGAAATCCTGCATGTTCTTCCTTCAAAACATCCCAAATCCAAATAAATGCCTCTCGTGACCTCCCTTGTCTGAGCCACCACAATCTCTAACCATAGTAGTTAAGTACCTATATTGTCACCCGGCTTCTCTCTTTGCCTTTCCATAGCTTATTCTCAGTACAGCTATGGGAGTGGTCTGCTTAAAATTTAAAGTAGGTCATATAAAACCCCTGATAAAAATCGGCCAACAACTTCCCACTTCATTCACAATAAAAGCCAACATTTGTACATGGCCTGCAAAACCCTACCTAGTCTAAATTAAAAGAAAAGCAAAAGGAACTATGTTAAGAGGTCTGAATTTCATCCTAAATGCAATGGGTGGTTGACATGTTTAATTCACAAGGTATGAATGGTGTTACTGAAAAGCACTGGACTGTGTGGAAAAACGATTGTGGTGGAGTGTGTTGGGTATTTTCTGACACTCCTTTTCCACTTCCTTCCTGGTCTAACCTTAGAGGTTTATCTTTACAGACAGTATCAATCAGACCCTCTGGCCTTTTGGACTCCCATTAGATTTAGCCAATTGAAGAGTTCAGAGGGTGGAAGGAGAGAGAAATTGAGGGAGCTTTTCTCTGAAACGGCATACCAGCTGAGCTGAGGTTTGCATTCCCCCGTTCTTTCCCAAAGGCCTCAGCTGCTGTGGGGGTACCCCTCCTACAGTAACTGCTCACACTAAGTTCAAGAAACAACTCCCTTGCCTTGCTCAGTATGACTTTGGTCTTGCCCAGACATGTTTTTCCATCCCTTGCTCATTCCTTAACCATATTCACACCTTGTTACATTCAGCTTGTATGTAACATACAGGTTGCATGTAACATACAGGTTGTATGGGGGCGCCTGGGTGGCTCAGTCATTAAGCGTCTGCCTTCGGCTCAGGTCATGATCCCAGAATTCTGGGATCGAGCCCCGCATCGGGCTCCCTGGCTCTGCAGGAAGCCTGCTTCTCCCTCTCCCACCCACCCTACTTGTGTTCCCTCTCGCTGTCTCTGTCAAATAAATAAATAAAATCTTAAAAAAAAAAAAAACATACAGGTTGTATGTAACACAGACCCTGACAACAATTAAGTTGACAATGAATGAAGGAGCAACCAAGGCAGTTCAGAAGAAAGGAGGCTTGGACTAGCATCCTGCCAGCAGAGATATAGATAGATAGGAGATGTATTTTGGAAGGTAGATTGGGAGTCTGTTAGAGCTGGACTGCCATTAGGAGATGAGAAAAAGGAATAAATAAGAACTTCTATGTTTGTGCTCAAACTTCCAGCTGGATTGTGAGTCAGGTAAACAGAGAAAAAACCAGGACAGTGGAGAACAGTATGGAGGAGGAAGATACCCAAAGTTTCTTTCTGAAAAATGGAGGTGAAGTTGTCTCTTTGGCATTGAACTTGATTAGGAGATTGGATGCCAGGGAGACAGTAGGGCTTCATAAAAGTATGGAAGTTGTGTGCACTGAGGTAGTATTTAACTGGATCAGATAACTGGATAAAGGGGTAACCTTAGAAGAAAGAATAGAATTAAGGGGAAAAAACTGTCCAGGGCATAGCCCTTCCAAAGGTGAGAAACTCAAACTCTTAGAAATTGGATAGAGAAGAAGAAATCAGCAAAGATGACGGAGAAATTTGCAATGTAGTGTGTGTGTGTGTGTGCGTGTGTGTGTGTGCGCGTGTGTGTGTGTGTGTGTGTGTAGAGGAGGATTGGGGTAAGAGACAGAGTCAGAGTGTAGTGTTCCAAATGCAGGAAGGCTTGAGAGTGATTGCATTGAAAGGAATTTTAGTTTAACCATGGTGTGGCATAGAAGTAAAACTGAACAAAGACTTTTCATTACGATCCGGTCTAGTTCATTCGAGGCCTGTCCTGAGAATAAAGAATAGAATATCACCTAGTAATAAAATGTTCCTTTGTCTGTCTGTATGAACTATTTATTTATGTTTGACAGCTGAGGATATATTTTTCTTGGCACCGTTTAGGTAGACCGTGCTACTCACTGGTAGAATTCAGGTGATCAGAGCCTTGCCGCAGCCACTGTATGCCTACTCCTAATTCTCCACTACCACCTCGTCTTAACTGAATTATATGGCAAATTATGCTTTACAAGCAGAACAATGACCACCACAAAAATTCAATGAATGCACTGTCAGCCAAAATCCTACTTACAAGGTTTTGAGGATATCTAAAACCCTTTATTACTTCTTCCACTGAGTAACTTTAAAAGTGACTATTCCAAATTTCGATTTATAAAATAAAACTATACTAATTACACAGCCTTTTTCATTGATGGGTTCCATGACTATTTTGATTAGAAAAAGAGTTCCATCACAATAAGTAACTGTACAGATCATTTTGGCAAAAGCGGCACATTTATTCTTCAAGAAGTCTTTTCTTTTTGAAATTGTATTAATTCATTCCAAATATTTTCCATGTTAATACTTCCATTGCCTCTCTGGCTGTAAATATCACATGTACTAATAAATAGAAGAGCCTTATACAGTTTTAAGATAGAATCTAACTGTATCGTCAATAAAAGCCTGGTAAAAATTAAAAAGATTTGAGTTTCAGAATACATTTTTAATTTTAAACTGGATTTTATTATCAATATACCAGATTTTCTTTCTAGTTATCCTATTTTTCAGACGGAATTTTTAAAATGATATTCCTCAAAGTATTATAAATAAGAACACAATATATGTAAAATCATGTGTGAGCTAATTCTCTTTTTCCCCATCCCCATATTTTAAGAATTTTTGATGTGCCAACTGCCTCAGTCTTTAAAAGAATCAAACAAAATTAGAATGTAAACTAACTGATTAAGATTTTTCATTTAATATGAAAATGAATGCTTTGAGCCAAGACATGGACAGATGGCTAATGTAGTAATTAATGAAAACATGGATTTTTTTTTTTACATTTAGATAAACATCCAAAAATAAACTCTTTTTATTTAAAGATACCTGCATCTCTCAAACTTCCTTCCCAGTTTTAAAACTGTATTTAAATAAACCACAACATAAACA